TTCATTTTTCAAAACAAAAAATGGAAAAACATCCATTTAATCGAAGCGGAATTGGAAAAACTCAAGAACGAAATGACAAAACTCAGGAAGAAATTAAGAATGGAAGAAAAAAAATAATTTCAGATACAATGCCCAAACCAGAAGAAATAAACTCAGCAAGTAATGGTCTTAGAGAAATGAAATGTGAAAAGGATTATAAAATTTAATTTAAAATGAGGGAGAGAAAAAGGAAAAAAGAGCACGTTTAGGCAATGGAAGATTCTCTGGAAAGCCTACCACGAACTTGACCGCCCTGGCCCGGAACCACACCGAGACAGATCCTAATACCAGGACTGGACCCTAACAAGGTAAGAGGTTCTCTGGACAGCTAGACAAAAACAGCAGGTGGCCTAAAGGGGGGAGGGAAATTAGATAATCATCAGTTCTGTTCAATATAAGATCTAGGGGATTGCATAATCCGAAAAATCTCGTGAATAAATCCAATGTAAAAGAAAAGGGATGGCAGGCTGACATATAAATTAAGACAGATCAAAACAAATGTCAAGAAATGGACAAGAATAAACTGCATTTTGGTTAACAATAGTTGGTAACGGAAAAGAAAAAGAAAACAAGGAGGGAATTCTTTTGACAGCCTGGGTGATCAAACCTCTTTCTGAGTAAGGTTTAGAGATGCTAAAAATGTTCTTTTATCTGTACTGGCCAATTGAGTCTATCCTAGCCACTAGTCCCACGTGGCTACTTAATACCTGACAGGTGGCAAGATTACAGAGAACGAAAGTCTTCAGTTTAATTAACTCCAAGAGCCACCGTGGCTCCCGTACAGGGCAGGGTCTTTCATCGCAACGCTTCCAAAACGTGACCCACCACCTTCCTTCCAGACCGCCCCCCTCCTTTCTGAGTGACCACCAGGCTGGGCATCTCTTGGATTCCATCTACCACCTGAATCTCCCTTACAACTGCCCACATCTTTCGAGTCCCAACTTCCACACCTCCTTGAAGGCCTCAGCATCATCACATTCGCTGGACCGCCCCGCTCACCCCAACAGTAATCCCTGCCTCTGGCCTCGCCTGGGCCACCGCCCATCCCTACACTCGAGGCCTGTGAACACCCTTCCTTTCTCTGCAATTAGGATTACACCAAACTCCTTTACAGGCAGAATTCAAGCTGACATAAATTCAGTCACACAATCTCATCAAACATTTCCATGGCCAACCTCCAAATCCCTTTTTTGCTTTTTGTGGAGATCTTCAACATCTGCTTCAGAGAAAATCAAAATCATCTTTTATCAATTACCTCATTAATTCCACACCTTAAAAACCTTCCAATTCTGTCCCTTCCATTTTCCCTGCTACCACTCTGGTCATGCCACCCTCCCCGCTGGCTAGGACCTCCCCAAGAGCTTTCTTACCCAACTTCTCTGCCTCCAATCTTGCACCCCTTGTATCAGTTCTCTTCACAGCTGGCAAGATGATTGTTAACTTTTACAGTCAGAGACCGTCAACTGGAAATTTTCTTCCAATGTAACCGTCTCACTAGTCTCCCCAGTCCCTAGATCCTCATCAGTGCATGTGTGGGAGGGGAGGTGGGGGAGAGTGTTGCCTACTGGAAATGTAGGTGTTACCAGCATCTGACAAACACTGCTCTAATATGTACGGCTAACATCACACTCTTTTTTTTTTAAATAACCTTTTCATACTCTTTTCACTTCCTTAGAATAAAACATAAACGTTTAACCTGGCTTACAAAATATTTTAAAACATGCCTTTGATTAATCTCTTACCACACTGTCTTTCCTTGCCCTGAGATTCTGCTCACATGAAACGTCTCATTCGTATTCCGTACCTTGCCATGCAGTCTATCCTAGACGGTCTTCCCAGACAGGGTTCCTTCTGTGCAGAAAATGCTTTGCCTGGCAAACTCCCACTCATCCTCAGGGTCTCTGTCTAAGCATTCCTTCTACAGGTACCTCTAGAGCACCTATATTTCAGGATGCGCACCAGCACTGTGGTGATTCCCCCCTCAAGCCCATTTCATGGTTGGTTTTTACTGTAAGACGGGGTGTTCTAGGTTAAATTGTAGGTTCTGATTCAGTGTATCACGAGTGGAAAGACGAATTCTCAGCAGGGTGTTGGGCTGGAACTAACCAGCTTCAGGTCACGCTCCAAGTATATACACATACACCTGTGACTTCAAGGGTTGTACTATGTATAATTCAGTGACTTTAATTACATTTACCAGGTTGTGCAACTGTCAGCACTACTGTTTTCAAAATTTCTCCAGGCCCCTATGCAATGATGCACTCTTTCACCATCTCCCACTGAGGAATGACTTTCCTAACTCCCTGTTGTCCCCCCCAGACCCAGAATGCAAACTCCAGCAGACAAAACCACACCTGGCTTTTACCACGCATTCACCTTCTTTCTGAAATCCTTTTTGTCCCAACAATGCTGCAGCCACTTTCCATTTCCAAATGCTCACCTTCTCTCTCACCTGTTGTTCTCTCTGCTGGGGACACATACTGTTTTAGTCCCCCTGCCCGAGTCAGGTTCAATGTCCAGTCGTCCCGCACGCCTTTGCTTATCTCAGCAGTTGTCAGGAAATCCTAGATAGCCTGAATTCCTGACTGGCTTCCCTAATATGTCAGAATATCCTTAAAGGTAGGAAGTTGGTTACAGCGTTCACCATCGCACCTCCAGGGCTTTGCACAAAGTCAAAGATGCTGTAACAAATCTTAGTTCTCTAAGATTTGGATCAGAGACTCTGATCCATAACACAGTTTTCCCTAGATGTTACCCCAAATCCAACATTTAGGACTCTACTTGAGGCCCAAGAAACAACCCGCCAATGGCATCTCTTATCAGCTTATCCAATCAAAACCGGTAAATTCACAAAAGGCCCGCCTTAAGGAAAGTGACTTATGGCACAACCCCCTATGGATGAACCAAGATGCTCCTGGCACAACCCACTGAGCAATCTTGCCTTCGCTAAGTCTTTACAGAAAAGTAGGGCACGTGTATCATTCTTCTCGGGAAGGGCATCAGGATGCTTCCATCCTCTTAATAAGAACTTCCATTTCTTCCAACAGGGAGAGAAGCCAATTTAGCAACTGTGGTAATTATTGTGGCTTGAAAAGCTGGCCCCCAAGTCCCCTCCCTTTAACAAGACCCTTGGTAACAACCTTTGAGATGCCCGAGGGAAACCACCCCCTGGGGAGCAACAAGTGGATCAAGGTGTGTACATAAAAATACATTTCCCCACCCACACATTCAGACACTCACCTCTGAGGCTTCCGCACTCTCATAATCTGAGAGAACAGCTGAAGGAGGAGAGAGAGAGGTGAATGGAAAACATGCAGCACAATGATCTGAATTGCATTTCAAGGCTGCTCGCTGTGTGTCGGGCTAAACCTCACTTGATTCTGACATCAATCTTAGAGGGAGGCACACTTTTACAGACAACAAACGGGGGAACCAACTTTTTCAAGATGATCCTGCCCAAAATCGATGCGCTCAATCGCCCCATTAGGAAAGAGCCACTTTGTAGCATCCTCCCCCAAGCACCCACCCCGTCAGGGCGGGGTCAAAGATGCTACTTACCATCGCCCTCGATGCCATCTTCACTCTCCTGAAGGAAAGATGGATGGGGTTAGTTCTGGGTCGGCGGAGTGGGGGCCCCAACGGAGAATCGTGGGAGGGGAGCTCAAGCCTCGAGACAAAATGGTTGAAACGAGTGACCGGGGAAAGTGCATCTCGAACTAGTGGCCACTGAAAGAGGTCAGTTCTATCAACATCCGCTTTCCACCCGCCTCCTTCCAGACGCCCCCCGCCCGCCCTTTCCCTAGAGACCCCGCCTGGGGCAGCGCTCCGCTCGGGCCCAGCCTCGGCCGCCAGCTCCCGGGCCCCCGCCCGCCGGCGCACTCACACACTCGGACTCCTCGGCGCTCGGGGCGCCCCCGCTCTCCAGCCGCCGCAGGTGGAGGGCCCCGGCCCGGCTGCCGCGCTGGGAAGGCAGCGAGCCGCTGCCTCCGCCCCCGGCGCTGCCGCTTGCGCCGCCCCGCGCCGGGGAGCCGCCGCTGTCGGAGCCTGAGGCGCCGGACTCCTCGTCCTCCGTGTCCTGGGATGCGCGCTGCCGCCGCCGGTCCGCCATCTTACGGAGAACGGCCGCCGCCGGCCAGCTCCTGACGCACCGCGCCCGTCGCAGGGGCCGCTGGGAGCCTCGAGACGAAGTCCCGGCATGCCTCACGGGCGGCGGGCGCCGCTCCGCCTCCGGGGGGCGGGGCCGGGGGCGGGGCCCTGCGGCACGTTTGCGGGCGAGAGGGATTACGTAGGTCCGCGCACTGGGGCTGGTGCGGTCCCCTTCTTCGGGGGGCTGGCCGGGGGCGAGGGAGCTGGAAGCGGGCGTTCTGCTCCGGTCCCGGCCATCTTGGGCTTTACGGATGGTCTGCGTCAACCTGGCAGCTTGGGGGTGGCTTGCCTGGTTTCCTATTCCCATTTCTCGTTTCTACCGACGTGTGCGGCGCGTCATTTTACTGCATTCGTTGGTTTGGGAAAGTCACAAGTCCAGGTAAACCTCTAAGGTCGTTGGCCGCGGCGGGTTGGCCACAGCAGCGCGGCTGGAGCGAAGGGGCGGTCTGTAAGATGCTGCTGCAGCACGCGGCCTTTTCCTGTCTCCCCACCCCAGCGCTCACCGCACCCACACGCAGGCAGGGTATGATGCCAGTCTGAAGCAGGATTCCACAACCCATTTTTAAAGAATTATAACCGCCTCGGGCTCATAGCCCTAGCTGATGTGATTTACTTATTTTTTAAAAATTATTTTATTGGGGGCTCTTACACCTTTTATAACCCATACATCCATTGTGTCAAGCACATTTTTACATGTGTTGCCATCATTCTTTTCAAAACAATTTCTTCCAACTTGAGCCCTTGGTATCAGCTCATTCCCCCCTCCTTCCCACCCTCATGAGCCCTTGATAAATTATCATTATTTTCAGTGACTTCCTTAAGGGCTACCAGACTGGTTGAAGAAGGAAATGCTTTAGAGCCTTGGCATTTATCTACGGTGAGTATCTTTTGACCAGAAGGGTATACCAGTTGAATGCACTGAATTAGTGCGCTACAGGAGTGTACAGGAACACGTATCTGAGGGCACTGTGGCCAAGCACAGGGGTCCGTCCTAATATTTTTACAAATGGTGCAGTTGAAGATAATCGAAGGTGTCACTGTCATTGAGTCAATGCTCTCATAGTGAGCCAGCCACCTGTGGGTTTCCGAGACTGTTGACAGGAATGTAAAGCCGGTGTCTTCCCCCCACCCCCCAGTGGCTGGTTTTGAACAGCTGACTATAAGGATGGCAGCCCAATGCATAACCACTGCACCACCAAGGGCATGGACAATATGAAATTGAAAGGCATTATGCCTACAGAGAGAACCAGGATAAACATCTCAATGAACTAAGCCAGAGGCCAAATGGAATGTAAAGCCAGCTCCAAAAACCACTTGCCCAAGTTCAAAATGGAGGATGCATGATTGAATGTTTTTAGAGGATGCTATTGATCACAAGCTGAAGTGGTGTAAACCTGACTGCCAAGTTTAGTGTCTAAGGATTGTGAGTCCTCCCTTTGCCCTTCAGCTGTTTGGGTTAGACCCAGCTTTTAAATGGATGTGGGCATAATGTTCAGACTAAAAAATTCAAAATCCTTTCCTGTGAGGAAAATCACAAAGTTCTGTGGACGTTTGGTATTCAGAGGACACGAGATAGCAATCTTTATTAATAAGATAGCAATCTTATTTAAATGACAATGCGGACAAGGGGTGTGTGTATGTGTTCCTTCAGTCTTCTTGAGGGCAAAGCAAGAAGGGAAATCAGGTGGAGTCACATTAGATGACCTATACATTTTTTTGACTTATAAATTCTTTTCAATTGTTACAAGCTCCAAGGATCCTCCACATCTCCTTAGCATTTCTGTTTCTGAGTTTGGAGGAACACAGGGCACAGGTGAAATCTCAAATGGAAAGGGAAACAAATGCCTTAGATGAGAGGAAAAGTGATGTGTTTTTCTATGGATATTTTTTCTAATGTTTTGAAGTACACATGCAGCATTATCTAATGCTTCCCAACAAACCTAATAAAGTAAAACAAATCCAAAAAATTAACAGCCACAATAGTTTATTTACAGTTCAACTCTTTATAAGATATTTACAAGACAACCAATTTTACACATCAGAAATGGTATCAAAAGTATGAATTACAACACAGACAACAATATGAAATGGGCAAAAACAAAGCTGAAGAGGACAGACGCAATTTCTTGTTTTAATTTATTAACACTAGCTTAAACTTGGTTAACAAAAGATAAACAGGGAATTATGTTTTAGGAGAACTGTAGGGCTTTCAGTTGAAGATTGAATTTCACAGTGTTATATCCCATGTAGGGAAAAATAAGACTAATTTTCCCCCCACACACTGTAATTTCATTTTCGGAACTTTGCTAATCTATTCTCCAACCTTCTTCTCAACAAACCTCAAACATAATCCAAATCAAAGGAGATTTGATGGAACAGTAAAATGGGAGGTCCTCAGGGACAGGGAGAACCAAAGAAATAAAACCCACTTAAGTCTGGCCAGATAGCACCTCATGGATTCCTCTCAGTCTAGCTCAGGATCTAGGGAGTCCTCTGGGAATGGTATAAGCATAGGTTAAATTTGCTAACCTCGTATCCAAACTTAGGAATCCCACAAATGCTGAAAGTCAAGAACTGAGAAGGATCAAGAATAAAGACACTGGGTGGTCTTTTTTCCCTCCCCCCCCCACCTTTTTGGGCACATAGATCAGAGTGGGAAAACTGTTTGCCAGGTTAAAATGAAAGAGGAACAAAGAAAATCTGGCCTAATTTCACAAGAAATCTCCTTCCTTTCCTTAAGGTGTGAGATGAGAGCCCCTAGTGGAATAAGTCCTATTTCTCCCTACATACTTGCTGCAATGAAGTTCACAGCAGGTGCCCGTGTGGAGAGCCCACTCTCCTAAGCAGATGGGAGTTACAAATGAACACAAACACACAAAAAAGGAGAAAGAAGAGGAGCAAGATCATCCAATACTACATGTGCTGCCGGAAGAAGTCCCCTGAAAAGTCAAACCCGGGAAGCACAGCTCAACGTCTCGTGGACTTCATCCCATTCTCTCATGCTCCACTGATGGGCCGGCCACACACCCTACATACCTTGGCTTCTCCTCTAAAAGTGCTAATGATCTGGGACACATTCTCTTCAAGGATAAAAGCCCCTACCTTCTAGGAGATTAGACCCCTACTTGTGTTCACACCATAGTCCTGAAGACTAATGAAAGGCAATTCCTATATAGTTAAGACCAGAGGTCTTGGCTCTACATTCCTTCCAGATAGTTACAAGGATCTTAAACTGAGACCAATGTGGCCTGGCAGTGCTGTCCTGAAATTATGTCTTTATTTATTTTTAAACAAAACTGGGGTGGGCAAGGGGGAGAGAAACCCATAATGGTACACGTACACTTGTATTTTTACAAAGTGAATGGAGAAGCTCATTAGGCACATCTGTTTGTTACAAGATGTAGACAATTTGCCAGCCAAATGAAGCATATAATTCCACACCCCCCACCCTCCCTAAACCTCTACCCCACCACCAAGAGCTCAGCCAAAAGTAAAAAGCCCACAAGGAATACTTGAGAAGTGATGTGACACAAGGACATCTATACAGGTTCTGGCATGCCATCCCCAAATGTCCAATGCTTTTGTTTATAAAGCCACACCTTGTCTGAGAGGAACCATTCTCATGACCTTATCCACAGATTTTGTTTTTTGAGGGATGAGGGAAGAAATTCAATCACCCATTAACTAAGAAAACATTAACAGCAAACCTCCCTCCCCATATGGCTGCTTCACAGAATCGTTTCAAAAGAACGAGCCTCTTCTCATTGATGTACCGGTTCCTCTAGGCTCTGATTCTGTGAGGGTTACTTGCTTCTTCACTTCACTTGCTATTCCTCATCTGGTTCTAAAGCTCATGGTGAGGACTTTTTGTTCTGTTTGAGGGTAAAACCCACTATGATACCCAAACTACAGGGAAAGGGCATACCAGGGTGAGGAGAGTGCCATGCAGGCACAGTTTTAGACACAGACATTGTTTCTTCCACACACGTAAGGAAGAGAGCACTTGGCCATAGGCAAATGGATAGTGGCAGACCACTGCCGCTTCCAAATCTGCCATCCTATAGAGCTTTAGAGCTCATGCCCCTCAAAAAGGGAAAAGAAACCGAAATTAACCTCTACAATTCACAATTAGCCCAATGAAAGAGCTTTTGTAAAATTAGAGGACAACAAAACCAAAGGAGTATGGAAAGGTGTATCAGTGACTGATGGCACACACAAGGACACAGGTCACATAAACAGGTCTCTGCCACTCTCTGAGAATGGCATGCTACAACTATCTGAAGACAGGGCTCTTGCTGGTACAGCTATTTCCTACACGTCCGGTGAGGTGTTTGCTTCTTTTGTATCTCCAATCTGCATCGGCTACGCTCGTCCAGCCAGGGCAGCTCAAAGTTCCTTGCAAGAAAGAATGAAGAAATCAGCTAGCAAGGCATTCAGTGTGGACATGAACCGAACTCCAAAAAGATCACTATGCCACTTACTGCTCCTAGCCCGGACGGCTACCGCGTCCCAAGCTTGGAGTGACGTTTTCCCCCAAGTGCCCTTAAAGGGACTGACTAAATCTCTCTCCAATAGCAAGACTCATCTAATCCCTGGCTTGGGCATCTCACCTCTGAAGGAGTTAACTGCCCAGGATGGCCTCACTTCTGTCAAAGAACCATGATTACTATGGAAGATACCCCCAAACCACATGTTTTCTAGGTTTCTAGCTAGGCTTCCATAAAGTCTGAAAGGAAGGAATACAGGCTACCTCAGATGGGGAGGGGGAACTTTATACTTACTGTGGAGTTAATTTTGGTAATGGTCGTCCAAATGCTACAACAGGCAAGAAGGGGGTAATCGTCAAACTTTCAACTATGAAAGAAAGTCAAATGGGACCTTGTTAGTGCTATCGATGGACAATTTCTAGCAACTAGACCTGTTCCCAAATACAATTAATCCAGTCATTCAAAGTCAGCTGTACTCTGGAGCCTTGCTCCCTTTTTCTTCTTTGAAAACCCCACTCTTACAAAGACCGATTAGACTTACCATCATCTGGCTCAGGGAAAAATGAGGTAACCTCAGGCTCAGATTCCTGAATTCCTTTCTTTTTATACATTCTGAGCTGCAGTCGCTGTAAAATTCTTTGTTCCCTGATCCTCTGAATATCCCATCTGGGAAAAATAAGTCACACAAAACAAAACAAATCCAACATTACTGAGAACCTGTTCTATAAAAGCAACTCACACAATCCAGATGCTAACAAGACCTTGCTGACTCCTCTTGATGAGGTTAGAAAAAACAACCGACTGCTTGGTTAGGGAAGAGCTATTTAGGCCTAACAATTCAGATCATGAGCTGGGTTCCACAGAGAGTGGAACTGAGGAAGGACATAGATGAAGAAGGCCCAAACATGCTTACCCACAAGTACCACTTCAAGGTTAAGAGACTTCACCAGTTGGAAAGCCATTCATTTAACAAGTGTTAGGAATTTGAGAACTCTCCATAGTGTGGAAGAGAGGGGTTGTGGTCCCAGGGTTTACCTGTCCCCACGTTGGACTTCTGTGGCCTACCTTTTCCTTCGCTTCTCATCCAGCTCCAGTTTTGCATGCCGCTTCGAAAACACACTGTCGTCCAGGTTCTGTGTAAAAGAGCAGCTGATAAGCCATTTGTTACCATGTCACACGTGTGTATACTAACTCACTTCTAGCTTCTAGGGATGTGAAAGCTTTCAGTTTCAGGTCTCACCTGAGTCTGAGTTCTAAGGGCATAATATGAACCTGGTGACAAAATCAACAGAACACTCTCTTCTCCAAGCCCCTTCCCATTTAAAATCTCCAAATTTCAAAGCAATTTCCATAGTGCTCCAGGGCAAAAGTCGTGTCAAAGTGAAATAAACCTGGTGGCTGCCAGAAACCCTCCCAAAGCCTTATTTTCTAAGAGTCTAATCTTAAAATGAATACCAATCTTTTAATGATGAAATCAGCTTGGCATATATCATTTTGTTACTGAGTGATACAAGCTAACTTTTCTACTTGGCATGAAATCTACATGGCATTAAATACTACCTTACTCTATGTTTTTTAAGAAATTACTTAGCTGAAAAAGAAAGAAAAAATAAATTACTTAGCTAATCTGGATCTCATTTTCTCCTCTATAAACTGAAGGAGTTGGACTAGTTAATTTCTCCCAAGTTCCTTTCTGGCCTCAGTTTTACGTTAACTCATTTGCACAGTCGCTATGACATGACCAGGTTACACCCCCATGTCCTATTTGGTGGCTCTGGCACCTACCTCCAAAAGGTCAGAAGGGTCTGGGTCCCTTAGGGGCTCCACCGAGTGGCCCCTCCAAGAAGGAACTGGGAAGAAAACACAAGAAAGGGAGGAGGGTGGAAGCACTCTTAAATCCAAGGTCACACAACCGTCTTCCTACTCACTAGGGAAGAAGTCTCTCCACAAAGTTACTGATAGGGATCCATTCTACGGCCTCACCTGAAGCCATTCAGTGTTCCCGCTATGGTATGAAAGAACCTAAAGTGCCACTGCAGTCTGCCAAACTCAGGATCGCAAAAAACCCTAAGCCAATACCTGACAAGTCATATAATGGATGCTACTGCAGTTCCTGAAAAACAACTGAAATGCGTTGTCATTTTGAAGCCGTCTATAAAGTGAAAGTGAACAGCAGGGACGCTCACTCTCCCATATCCATCCAACTGATGAGGCACACAGCTCCCAAGCAGCCACCAGCCCGCCAGCCCCCAGCCCAGGCCCAGCCAGCACACGCCTATTCTACTCACCAGCCAAGACTGGAGTTTCTCCTGCAACACTTGATGGCATCAGACACCCTAAATAATGCAGGAAAGAAGAATCATCTCAGTGTAAAAAGAAAAAAAGCCCATGCCCAAAATGGAGGAAAGGATCATTACTGAAGTTCTCACTAGGAAGCCATTTTGTTTTTGAGTTGTTCTTTTGAGAATTTCTCTCTGGGGGAGGGGAAGAGGGAACAACAGACAAAAGAAAAGAAAATAAGCCCACCACTTTTTTTTTTACACTGAGACGACTTCTTTTCTTCATTATTTAGGGTGGTTTCCCTGCAACAGTTGATGGCCAAGGATATCAAACCTTAAACTCAGAACATGGCAGGTGAGTAAAAGTTGACCCTATTTTTCAAATAAAAGATCAGTGTTCTCAAAACTTACACATGTAGTCTTCGTAAACAGCTCCCTCCTCCCTCCAAACAAACTACCTTGCTGGTCCAGCCTGAACAACATGCACAAAGACTTTGGCTTCCTTAGACCAAGCCATCGAGACTTCGTGAGATAGAGATGTCAAGAACAAGGATTCACACATTTATTCAAAACTCAGGCTTCTCAAAGGGCTGCAATCCCCCCCAGTTGGACTCCTGCTCCTGTGACACCCACAATCTCAGAGGCATTTGGACTTTTTCTGTACTAGGGCAGTTAAGATTTTCAAATCCAGCTAGTTACTGCACAGCTCCGGACCAAGCCGTTTCCCAATCCCGGATGGGAAGTTGCTTCATGGTTTCTCTCAAGTTGTCACATAGCATTGCCATGGCAGCAAGGTTAAAACCATTAAGGATGAACCTGTTCAACTGACTGAACCAACACCCCCCCCCCACACACACAAAAAAATCCGAACCTACATCAGGATCCTGGTCTATCTCATGTACTTGAGTGTGAGGTCTAATGAATTTTAGATCATTAAAAAGAGTAATCCATGCTCTCCCACTTAATTTTGTCATCAGAACAGCCAAACCAAGTCTGAAGAGTGTCCTTGCCTCCCTGGAACGGGCTCCCATCCCCATCCCAGTTAGGGCAAGACACCAGGTAGAAACTGAGGGCACCCACAATGACTGTCACAGACTAACATTACAGAAATCGAAGGCAAATTCCAGTGACTGATTAATGTAGGAGGTAAGGGGAAAGATCTTTGTGTGGAAGCCATGAAGAAAAAAGGGAATGAAGATCAAGGTCCCAAACCCAACCCCCTTCCCAAGCAGCTCAGATATCCCAAGATAGTCCTTATTGTTTGAAAAATAGTTTGTAGACCATTTTATTTAAATATATGAACAACCAATGGGCTACTGCAATCCAAGTAAACTCTTCACATTTTAGAACCTTTGTGAAGGATAGTAAGGTAAAGTAAGACTGTGGGTGGGTCTTTGGCAGATTCCTCCTGCCCCCCAGACCGGGACATAGAGATACAGATAAATGTTTATATAGTTAAAGAGTGGAGACCCAGGTGAAATTCCGCATCCCCACCTGGCTCCCCAGCCCAAAATTACCATTGGCCCCTGAGCACCCCCAAAGACCACCCTCTCAGGTTTCACACAGTATCAATTGCAGGAACAGTCGTGCACGGCAAAGTATAAGTTCTATGCATTTCACAGCACAGAAAACCCTTCTTTCGGGGGCATGCAAGTTGCCGGAGATTACACCCCCAAGTCTGGTGCTCTTTTGATGAGCAATTTACTGGCAAACACATCTCCCAGTGTTGTAAACAGGCAAATACAGTGAGCACATTTTGCTGTAATTCCATCTATTTGCAATGCCTGCACAGTGTCTGTCTCTGGCTGTTAACTTACTCATTCTTGACAGAACTCTGCTTTATTGATTGCACTTTTTAAAAAATGCCAAAGGCATTTTCAAACTTGTTAGCTTGACCGCCACCACTAGGGTATAAGAGCAAGTGTTCTCTATGCCTTACTTGCTACAGTCTCCTCCTTCTTTGGAGAGGATTCCCGTAATGGTAACGGTGATGGGGGAGGCTGGTGCCAACGACACAAATACATTTCTGTGGTGGAAAGGTACGGCAAATCTTCTATCTCACTTGAGGTTTTCTCCTTGGGATGGCCGCTGGGTCCCTTCTGGGGAGTGGAGAGTCTTGGTGGGGTGTCCACAGACGACCGGGGTTTCTCTGGAGTTTCTTGGCTCCTCAGCTCACGTTTACAAACAGTTTCAGATAAAGAACCACAGGGCTCCTCTTTAATGGGAGAGTGCTTAGGTGTTTTTGTTTTGACTTTTGAAAATTCAGGAGCCAGCTTTTTAACAGGAGTCTTTCTTTCTGTACTTCCAAATGGGGATTTCCTGTTGAAGCGGGAAGAAAACATTTAAAAATTTATCAACTCTTGAATAAAATCTGATCTGGTCATATTTTGGGACAAGAGAATTCACTTGCTCTCTTGCCCCAAAGTGACCAGGATTTAGGTACCTAAATTCTGGTGCTCATTGGGCAGACATGAGGGGGAGGAGAACATGCTTAACAGTATATGTACTAGGCCCTTAGTAAATGTTTGCTAAACAGATGAGTTCCCATGCTGAACAGCCTCCAATAGTGTCCTATTCCCTACTAGAGCTAAAAAAGATTCTTACTTCACTCAGGCCACTTAGCCAGCATTAGGTGCCACTACTCTGTGCTCCCTTCCCTTCAGTTCTATCAACCTGAGTCCAAACTCTTTGTTCCCCCAGCCAGTCTCAGGGTTACTACAACCTCCATCATTTTCACCCCCTTGCTGTCAGCTGACTCCCCCCCTCCCCCACAGGGCATCCTCCTCTTCTTTACCAACCTAATCCTACACTTCTTTTTCAAGATCCACCTTTTAGAAAAAATTTCCCACTATTCTAATTCAGAGTCATCCTTATTAGTATCTCTGAATCTTACAAAACGTATGTTTATATTGCTGTTGTGTACGTCTACATATTTTACTATACTTGAGGTTGTTTTCCCCACAATTTATTGCCTCTCCTTACAGGGAAATTAATGGAGTCTAGGGCCAATTATCTTTTCCTTTTTCACACCTGTTAAGTACCTAACACAATGAAGGAATTCAGCACTTCCTAACTTGAAAAGAACAGTTATCATTTTCTTTAACAATTTTGGTGCTTGTTGCCCATTCTCTTTCTGATGCCCTCCACAATCTGTGATTACAAGTTTTTACAGCCAAAGCAAGAAAGTTTTGAGATATTTTCTCTTGGCTTGGAAGACCCCTCATTAATTCAAGACACAATTGCTGTAAAACAAATTCAAAATCCCAACCCATTATTCTCAGTCACTGGTAACAAGTGTCCCTATCATGTCCAGACAGTGTAATTAATGAAGTTAGCAGCACACCTTTTGTGTCCCTTTCCACTCCGCCCACATGAGAAAGGCTTGGGAGGCAGAGCCTGAGATGTCTCGGAAAGCTCCGGCTGGCACTCCAGTTTAATTTTCTCTGGTAGCTCCGCTTCCTCTCTCTCCTCAGTTTCATAGCCCTGAAACAACTTGTGCCTTTCTTTCTCATTATCCTTCTTTACCAGCTGCATGCGCCTTTCCATACGTTCAATCCGAGCAAGGAGCTAGAGAAAAGAGTAGTAAAATGTAGACTTCACACACACACACACACACACACACACATTTCAGTTTCAGTACAGGTACTTAGCCCTATTTAAGAATCAGGAGTCTTTCCCTTGACCGTATCAATCCCACTTATTAATGGGCAGACATTAATCTTAATGATTTCCCTTCACAGAAAATGCAAGGTACATGACTTAATTTCAGAGGCTAAATTAATTGCAGAGGGTCCTGTAGTTTCTCCTTCAGAAAGAAACTCCTCTACTGGCCTGGTCTCTGGTACTGCTAACCACGTGTGGCTCCACGTCAGTTTGTGAGTTTCAACATTAACCTTGTTCTTTTAGGATGTCCCAAGGTTCCCCCAACCCTAGTTTCTCCATTTCCACTCAAAAACTCAACACTCAAAAAAAAAAAACAAAAACCCCTCAATACTCCAGGGCAAACTTCACATAGCATGTTGAGAAGGAATGAAAAGCCCCCAACAGTGCCATTAGGAGTTGCAATGTTATTTCAAAGGGATGGGAGGAAGGTTCTCCAACACCAAATACTCCACTTGAAAGAATTAGAATAGAAACCAGTATGGATGCATCCCAAAGTTCATGAGTCACGGATATTGCTTTGCATTTGAGATAACAGAAAAGGGATACACCTCCGTATCAAAATACTGATTAAAAAAACCAAAGTCCTATAATTCAATTTAAAGGACTACATAATCAGTAAGTTGAGGTCTATTCTTTTTGAAACTTCCCTTGAAAATGTTTTGAGAAAAGATGTCATCTGGACTATTTATCTTCTGTAACAAGAATTTTACCTGAGTTAAACAGTAATATTCAGGATGCCTTCATTATAGCCATTTAGCTACATACATTTCAGTAGAGGCCAAACAACAAGTGGGCTAGGAGAAACAAGCCCGAGCAACCACTAAGCCTGCAATACATAACAGAAGCAGTGAATGCCAATTTCAGCCTAACAATCTATCCTTAAGTCACCCCACTTTCCTGTCTAGGAAAGCCTGCAAAGGGGCCATTACCTCAGGAACTGAGCAAAAACCTCCACAAGCAGCAGAGCCCCCTCTGTCAGCCATAGGTCTCATTTCATCTCCTTACACTGGTGGATTCACAGCATTCACATTACTTAACCACACTTTGCAGGCCACACTTCCTTGATTTCTTCCCTTTTGCCACTCCTTGTCCAGTCTCCCCAACCCACCCCCACCTCAGGATGTGATGTGTTGTAATTACAGAGCCATCACCCGCTAGACTGCAGTACAGGAGCTGAGCAGAGCCACCTCCATGTTGAGAAACTTGCATACATCAACATGGTGAGCATTTTCCTGAGACCTGCCCCCAGCTCCCATTCCATCCTGCAGGCTGCCTTCTCCAGTCCCACGGCCACTGCCGATGACATGCATTTGGAGTGAAAAGGTGAAGAGCCCTCTGCTCCCTTGGCACAGGATGCCAGAGAGCAGGAGACTGCCTGCGGGAGCTTGCACACAATTGTGGAGCCCGTGTTTATTTTTAGGCAGCTGTAAGGTCTGCAGAGTGTTCCCCAGTGAGCACGGTCAGACCCCAGCAG